ATAGTCGGTAACAAAGCAAACATCCACAGTTACAAAAAAATATTAGTAACCACCTGTGTCTTATCAGATCACCATGGATTAAAGTTAGAATTCAACAATAATGCTACCCCCAGAAAGCATACAAAGTCATGGAAACTGAACAGTCAACTATTGTACCATACCTGGATTAAGGAAGAAATAAAGAAAGAAATTAAAGTCTTCCTGGAATTCAGTGAAAATAAAGAAACAACATACTCGAACTTATGGGACACTATGAAAGCAGTCCTAAGAGGAAAGTTCATAGCACTAAGTGCCCACTTAAAGAAAACAGAGAAAGCTCACATTGGAGACTTAACAGCCCACCTGAAAGCTCTAGAAAAAAAAGAAGCAGACTCACCTAGGAGGAGTAGAAGACTGGAAATAATCAAAATGAGGGCTGAAATCAACAAAATAGAAACACAGAAAACAATACAAAAAATCAATGAAACAAAAAGCTGGTTCTTGGAGAAAATCAACAAGATTGACAAACCACTATCCAAGCTAATCAAACGGCAGAGAGAGAATTTGCAAATTAATAAGATCAGAAATGAAAAGGGGGACATAACCACAGACACAGAGGAAATTCAGAGAATCATTAGATCTTACTACAAAAGCCTATATGCCACAAAATTGGAAAATGTAAAGGAAATGGATACTTTTTTAGATAAATATCATATACCAAAGTTAAATCAGGACCTGGTGAACAATCTAAATAGACCTGTTAGTCGCGAAGAATTAGAAGAGGTTATCAAAAACCTCCCTACCAAAAAAAGCCCAGGACCAGATGGTTTCAATGCGGAATTCTACCAGATCTTCCAAGAAGATCTAATACCTATACTCCTTAATGTATTCCACAAGATAGAAACAGAAGGGTCATTACCAAACTCCTTTTATGAAGCCACAATTACTCTGATACCAAAACCACTCAAAGACTCAACCAGGAAAGAGAACTACAGGCCAATCTCACTCATGAATATCGACGCAAAAATCCTCAACAAAATACTGGCAAATCGAATCCAAGAACACATCCGAAAAATTATCCATTATGATCAAGTAGGCTTCATTCCTGAGATGCAGGGCTGGTTCAACATACGAAAATCTATAAATGTAATCCAGCATATAAATAAGCTGAAAGAAAAAAACCATATGATCATTTCATTAGATGCTGAAAAAGCATTTGACAAAATTCAACATCCATTTATGTTAAAAGTCTTGGAGAGATTAGGGATACAAGGGTCATACCTAAATATAATAAAAGCTATATACAGCAAGCCGACAGCTAACATCAAATTAAACGGAGAGAAACTCAAAGCCATCCCACTTAACTCAGGAACACGACAAGGCTGTCCACTCTCCCCATACCTCTTCAATATAGTGCTTGAAGTTCTAGCAATAGCAATAAGACAACATAATGGAATCAAGGGGATTCGAATTGGAAAGGAAGAAGTTAAACTTTCGTTATTTGCAGATGATATGATAGTGTACATAAGCGACCCCAAAAACTCCACCAAAGAACTCCTACAGCTGATAAACAGCTTTAGTAATGTGGCAGGATACAAGATCAACTCCAAAAAATCAGTCGCCCTCTTATACACAAAGGATATGGAAGCAGAGAGGGAAATCAGAGAAGCTTCACCATTCACAATAGCCAAAAACAGCATAAAATATCTTGGGGTACATCTAACCAAGGAAGTGAAAGATCTATTTGACAAGAACTTTAAGGCATTGAAGAAAGAAATTGAAGAGGATACCAAAAAATGGATGGACCTCCCTTGCTCTTGGATTGGGAGGATCAACATAGTAAAAATGGCAATTCTACCAAAGGCTATTTATAGATTCATTGCAATCCCCATCAAGATCCCATCAAAATTCTTCACAGATCTGGAGAGGAAAATAATCAACTTTATATGGAAAAACAAAAAACCCAGGATAGCCAAAACAATCCTATACAATAAAGGATCTTCTGGAGGCATTACCATCCCTGACTTCAAACTCTATTACAGAGCTACAGTAATGAAAACAGTGTGGTACTGGCATAAAAACAGAGAAGTCGACCAATGGAATCGTATAGAAGACCCGGATTTTATCCCACAAACCTATGAACACCTGATTTTCGATAAAGGAGCTAAAAGTATACAATGGAAGAAAGAAAGCATCTTCAACAAATGGTGCTGGCACAACTGGATGTCATCTTGTAGAAGAATGAAAATAGACCCTTATCTATCACCGTGCACAAAACTCAAGTCCAAATGGATTAAAGACCTCAATATCAGCCCGAACACACTGAACCTGATAGAAGAGAAAGTGGGAAGTACCCTACAGGAGCTGGGCACGGGAGATCGCTTCCTATGTATAACCCCAGAAGCACAGACATTAAGGGCAACATTGAATAAATGGGACCTACTGAAACTGAGAAGCTTCTGTAAAGCAAAGGACATAGTCAATAAGACACAAAGGCAACCTACTGATTGGGAGAAGATCTTCACCAACCCCACAACAGACAAAGGTCTGATCTCCAAAATATATAAAGAACTCAAGAAACTAGACTTTAAAATGCTAATTAACCCAATTAAAAAATGGGGCACTGAACTGAACAGAGAATTCTCAGCAGAGGAAGTTCAAATGGCCAAAAGACACTTAAAGTCGTGCTCAACTTCCTTAGCAATCAGGGAAATGCAAATCAAAACAACTTTGAGATATCATCTTACACCTGTCAGAATGGCTAAAGTCAAAAACACCAAGGATAACCTTTGCTGGAGAGGCTGTGGAGGAACGGGTACCCTCATCCATTGCTGGTGGGAATGCAATCTTGTGCAACCACTGTGGAAGTCAGTGTTTCGGTTTCTCAGGAAATTCGGGATCAACTTACCCCTGGACCCAGCAATACCACTCCTGGGAATATACCCAAGAGATGCTCTATCATATGACAAAAGCATTTGTTCAACTATGTTCATAGCAGTATTATTTGTAATAGCCAGAACCTGGAAACAACCTAGATGCCCTTCAATGGAAGAATGGATGAAGAAAGTATGGAATATATACACGCTAGAGTACTACGCTGCGATAAAAAACAATGACTTCTCGAATTTTGCATGCAAATGGATGGAAATAGAAAACACTATCCTGAGTGAGGTGTCCCAGACCCAAAAAGATGAACATGGGATGTACTCGCTCATAATTGGTTTCTAGCCATAAATTAGGGCCACGGAGTCTACAATAGGTGAACCTAAAGAAGCTAAGTAAGAAGGTGAACCCAAGGAAAAACATATAGTTATCCTCTTGGCTAAGGGAAGTAGACCAAATTGCCGGGGAGAAAATTAGGATCTTGGGGGTGGGGTGGGATGGGGGTAAGGGGAGATGGGGAGAGAAAAGGTAGAAGGGAAGGAGGGGGGACTTGGGGAATCAGGAGAATTGGGATAAAGGAAAGGTGGATAGGGGAGCACGGAACCACAATTCTTAGTTAAGGGAACCACTTTAGGGTGAGCAAGAGATTTGACCCTAGAGGGGCTCCCAAGTGCCCAACATGAGGTTCCCAGTTAGTTCCTTGGGCAGCTGAGGATTGGGAACCTGAAATGACCCTATCCTAGAGCAATACTGACGAATATCTTGCATATCATCATAGAACCTTCATCTGGTGATGGATGGAGACAGAGACAGAGACCCACACTGGAGCACTGGACTGAGCTCCCAAGGTCCCAATGAGGAGCAGAAGGAGGGAGAACATGAGCAAAGAAGTCGGGACCACGAGGCGTGCACCCACCCACTGAGACAGTGGAGCTGATCTACTGGGAGCTCACCAAGGCCAGCTGGACTGTGACCGAAAAAGCATGGGATAAAACCGGACTCTCTGAACATGGCGAACAATGAGGGCTGATGAGACGCCAAGGACAATGGCACGGGGTTTTGATCCTACTTAATGTGCTGGCTTTGTGGAAGCCTAGCCAGTTTGGATGTTCACCTTCCTAGATATGGACGGAGGGGGGAGGACCTAGGACTTACCACAGGGCAGGGAACCAGGACTGCTCTGTGGACTGGAGAGGGAGGGGGAGAGGAGTGGGGGGAGGGGTAGAAGGGTGGGAGGAGGGGGAGAAGGGTGGGAGGAGGGGGAGGGAAATGGGAGGCTGGGAGGAGGTGGAAACTTGTTTTTTGTTTATGTTTTTTTTCTTCTTTTCTTAATAAAAAAAATTAAAAAAAAAAAAAAGAAGTGGCGGCTGGAGCATGAGGTCACGTGGTATCTGCAGTCAGGAAGCAGAGGGAGATGAACGCTGCTGCACATACTTTCTTGTCTTTTTTTCAGACTAGAACACTAAGGCACGGAATTAATGGTATGACCTACATCCAGACTAGTTCTTTCCATCCTAGTCAAACCTCCCTAGAAAAAGGGTCACACAGACAGACATGCCCAGGGGTGTGTCTCTTAGGTTAATATCAATCCCACCATGGTGACAGTCAAAGTTAATCATGACAGGTCAAAGAAATTGTTAGAAGTCAATGAAGGCTCGGAATTTGGTTGAAATAATATTTTGAAGAAGAAGGAGTATAATATCCTGTTTACCATGCAAAGTATCCTCAACATGTATGAAGTCTGTAGTTCAGTAGTTTCACAGAGAGTTTGATGTCAGAATAGGCCTCATAGTGAGACTGTCTGTGACCAAGAAAGAAAAAGTGGCTGTAAGTATGTTATTGACCTATCTTAACTTCATTCTGTCTTTATGAGTTGTCTACTTATCTATCTATCTATCTATCTATCTATCTATCTATCTATCTATCTATCTATCTATCTATCTATCTATCTATCTATCTTTCTATCTATCTATGACACTGTAATTGAATTTACAATATAATAGAAATATTGTATTTTAGAGATAAGTGTCAGGCTTGAATAGAGGAGGCAGAATTTAATGTGAAGCAGTCCAGGAAAGTTGCTAGGATGATCAAAAACTGCTCTATTTTATTACTTGTGTGTGTGCTTTTCTTTCCAGGGCTGCTGATAAGCTCAGGCTGTGCATTATATCCTTTAGGATGGAACAGTCCGGAGGTAATGCAAACATGTGGGAATGTCTCCAATCAATTTCAGTTAGGTAAGGTAGTATGGCCAGAATGGTAGTGATGGTTTATGGGAAAAGTAGCTTCAAATGTTAATGTCTTGGAGAGTCCTCTGTGACTAAATTACCCTTGCCTATATCTGTCATCTTGTAAACTTGTAGGAGGCAATAGGTTTGTCTGGGTTCCTTTATCCTTTTAAATTTATAAGCTTTGGATTTAAAATTCTGTTTCTTTAATTCTCTCTATATGTGATTGATGCATTTCATCAGGGTCTTTTGGCCAGTGTAGAGAAACTAACTATAAAGAAATTTAAATTATTTGGCATGCAGATTAATTTTTGATATGTGTTATTTTTTTATCATTTACCTGAGGAGGAATTTAAAAGAATGAGACAGACAATGAGACAATGATTCCCAGGGTTTAAACTCTTTTCTAGTTTACCTTTGTGTGGGTAGAGGAGAATAAAAGCAATGTTGATAACGATTGAGATGCTTTTGAGAATTTATTTTATTTTGTGCATTATATTATAACCTAGGAAGACAATGCAGAGGAAATAGGTAAAAGGTGGTTTTAACTTGCCCATGGGCATATAACTTTTAGCTAACAGAATCATGATTTAATTGAAGTTCATATATGTTTGTTGCTGTACTATTCGTAAAAGAGAAAAAATAGAATCAACCTAATTTTCTTCACCATAAGAATAAACAGTGAAGATTATGTACAAAATGAATATGTAGATCAAAATGATTTTTAAAAAAAACAAGAAAATGTGGCATGGAAACACAACGGAGCTTTTCAGCCATGAAAATAGAACAAAATTTTGACATTTTCAGGAAAATGGCTGGAACTGGAAATAATTATACTAAGTGAATTAAGTCAAACTTACAAAGACACATATCATATATTTCTCCCTTATGCAGAGCTTAGATTTAAATTTAGGTGTTGCTACGTCTGTTTGAATAGAACAGAAAACAAAAAAAGAGAGGATTTTGAGAGGAGAAGAGGAGGTCTAAAAGGGATGAGAAAAGTGAAAGAAAAGATAATGGACTGTAACATGAAACCAGGAACAGAATGACTGGCAGGGAGACGGAGTACTCACAGAGCCGATAGGGGTCAGAGGAAGACAGTGGATAAGAAGATTAAGTACAAAGTATATTGACATTAGAAAGGGTCACAGTGAAAACTATTAGATTAAATATTAAATAAATAATAATAAAAGGAAAGGACACTTAAACAGTTGTTTTACATATTCTGTCCTAATTATATCTCCCAATGCCTTTTCTTTTTTTTGACAGTTAACTTAATTTTTTAAAAATTTATTTATTAAAGATTTCTGCCTCCTCCCTGCCACCGCCTCCCATTTCCCTCCCCCTCCCCCGATCAAGTCCCCCTCCCTCATCAGCCCAAATATTTTAATGAAAAAAAACCACAGTTGTCCATTGCAACCTTGGGTTAGCGTTTATATTTTTTGATTCAACCAACTATGGAAAATTAAATTTGATACACATTGTACTTGTACTACAAATGCACATTTTTGGTCACTTGTCTGTAAATAATGCAGTATAGCAAACTGTTTACAAAAACTCACATTCTATTAAATAAATACCATAGAAATTACTGAAATATACAATGAATTTATAATTCTTATGCAACTACAATGCCATTTTATATCAGGGACTTGAATTTTTTTCAAATTTTGTGTGGGTTGCTAGACCCAATCTCCAGTAAATAGTGAGGGACAGATGTGTATTTTAAAATGCTCAATGGATTGTAGGAGGTATTATGTTTGATGAGGGTAAGAGAAGACAAGAAGTAGGAAGACAAGAGGAGAAACAGCTGTGCTTGAAATGGGAGGAGGAAAACAGGAAACACAGTTCAGCTGTTTGTGAGATGAGATGTCTCTGTGTAGCTTAAATGCTAATGTCAAGCATGTGGTCTGAGTCTCACTGAGGAATCCAGTCTCAAGTCTAGAAACTGGGAGTTCTTAGCATATATATGATATAGTTATTAGGATAAATGATTGTGTTAATAATGACTATCACGTTGTGAAGGTGAGATTTACAAACAGTTGAAGTTACTTTTACAAGATCTGTTTAGCTATGGAAATGAGTAAAAAGAAAGGTTAAGTTGAAGTCTTGGAAATTCTCAACACATAAAATTAGCAAATACAAACTCCTGTGTGGCATTCACTATGCACATAACCAACCTTTACATCAATCTGCTAGGAAAGGATTATCAGCCTGTGTCTTAGACTATCTTGTGTTATTATAGCAATCTCTCATTACTGGACAATGTATAAAGACAAAATATTCAACTTTGAAAAATATTAGTGTCTGAATGTGTCAAGACATTGTAGAGAAACAGAAAAATGTAGTAAGGAGCTGCAGGCTGCGTTCCTGTCTCCCGGCTCCCAGTCACGGGCTAGCTTTACCTGAAATAACAACACACAAACTGTATTCATATAAACACTGCTTGGCCCATTTCTATTAATGTGTGTAGCACCACGAGGTGGTGACTTACGTTGCCTAGCCCATATTTAGTAATCTGTATAGCACCAGTCTTACCGGGAAAGATTCAGCATGTCTGACCTGGAAGGATTTATTTATTAAAATACATATAATATATCACTACATAAAGTTATTCGGGAATGTAAAGGCAGAAGACTGACTAGAGTTTATTTGCTAATGCACTGTCCTATCCACACTATGATGGCCATTTTTCCTGTACACTGCTGAAGACATATATTGAAACACTTGAGAATTTATTGTTTTTATCAATAGTTATGTAAAATATGGAAAGTACCCAGTTCTGCCTCATGTCTCTCCAAACCTACTTTCAAACTCAGTCTCATGTCAATCTTTTAGTATAACCAAAGAAAAATAAACAACCAAAGGTTGTTGGAAGAGAGTACCAGTGGAATAGATATTTACTGGAAACTTTCAAACACCCAGTGGATGGGATTCCTGCCCAAATTATACTGATAAATTTCATAAAAAAGACACATATAAATTTTTATGTTCCACACATTTTTTTTTTTTTTTTTGGTTTTTCGATATAGGGTTTTTGTGTTGCCTTGGAGCCTGTCCAGGAATTAGCTCTTGTCGACCAGGCATACCTCGAACTCGCAGAAATCCACCTGCCTCTGTCTCCCAAGTGCTGGGATTAAAGGCATGCACCACCACTGCCCAACTGTTCTGCTCTATCTAATTTTATACAAACACAGTCTTTCTGGAACTTACTCTGATCTTTTGGAATATCTACTTATGCCTTCCTTGTCTCAGTCTTCTTTCCGAAAAAAAAAAAAAGTGATAAAGTGGATGAATGTAAGGGTGGCCCTGATAAATGATTAGAGAAGTGTTGTACAAGGACAGCCCCCAAAGACGAAAGTGTGCTATTGCTAGCTAGGTATAGTGGTATGTACATACAGTTCCAGTACTTAGGTAGAAGGAACAGGAAGACTGAATTTCAGGTAATCCTGAGTTACAGAGGTAGACATGTCTCAAAAATCAATCAAACTAAACAAAATACAAAAGTGTCACACAATGCAAAGGGAGTGTCAAACCTCGTCATTTACATTTGAGTTCTGCCTACTGCTTTTCCTGCTTCTAAGATTTTATCTTGGAATGTTTCCTATTCTACCAATACCCTTGATGTTCCAATAGTCTACAGTGTCTGCACTAAACCCACTCTACTGACTCTTTCTCATCAATGTCTTTGATCAAACGGTTTAGGAAACTATCTCTTTCTTCTTTTCTTCATTAAAAAGGAAAAAAATCAAATATTTAAAGCACAAAATCAACAAACAATAGCTGAATTTGCACTGAAGCACAAGGTGGAATCCACCTTCCAGATCAATTGTTGCAGCTATTGAGTCATAGTAAAAGCAGATGAGATTTTAAGTGACTAACGACTTGAAACTAGCTCCCTGATTGTTCCCTGTCATCCTGTTCAATGGTGATCCAGTATCTGGAAGTTGAGGAAATTATTCATTCATTAATAAGAGGGAAGGCAAGTAAAAGCTCCAAACAACAACTTTGTCAAGTACAATTTCTTTCTCTATCATTATTTTATCAATTAAATGAAAACCAAGGAAAGTGGTTTGCTGCTAATTGTACTCTTACCATTAAATGGAGCTTATGGAATTGATCTCACAAAGAAGAATGTCTAAAACTCTAATGCTAAAATAATCTATTTATCTGCCCTCTCCAGTTATTCTTCATCTTGGCTTGAATTGACACCAAAAGCAGTAGGAAGCAAGGAACAGACCAGAACTATGAGGAAGATGGATGAATATTGATTGGTTAAAGTTAACAATGTTAATTTTGGAGGCTGGAAGTGGCTAGACTAATGGCCCCACGGTGAAGAGTATTGACTGCTCTTCCACAGTATAGTGAGAGCTGCGGGCTGCGTTGCCGCCCAGATCCCAGCTAGCTTACCCCCCAAATAATAACACACAAATTGTATTCTTTTAAATACTGCCTGGCCCATTATATTTACCCTCTTCTTGGGTAACTCTCACATCTTGACTAACCCATTTCTAATAATCTGTGTAGCACCACGAGATTGCGGCTTACCAGGAAAGATTCTAGCCTATGTCCATCTCTGGTAGGAGAATCATGGCGACTGATTCACTTCCCTTCTTCCCAGCATTCTGTTAGGTCTACTCTGCCTATCTAAGCTGCTCTCCTATCAAAAAGCCAAGGCAGTTTCTTTATTAACCAATGAAAGTAACACATAGACAGATGTCCTCCTCCATCACCATAGGACCCAGGTTCAATTCCTAGTACCTGCATGGTTGCTCACAACAATCCATGACTCCAGTTTCAGAGGATCCAAATGCCTTCTTTTGGCCTTCATGGGTACCAGGCACACATATGGTAAATAGGCATGCATGGAGTCAAAACAACCAAACACATAAAAAAGAAATATATTTTTTAAGTGACTGTTTTTGTTTCTGTTTTCCACAATAAAAATGGACAAATATGTGACATGGGGCAAATTTTTCAATAATCATAAGCTCATTATTATATAGGTT